ACCTCTGTTGTGCAGCATACTGAGAACAAATTATTGGTATGAGCCTCATGAACTGAACTATCCGAGACAAAAATTAAAATTTCCTCGTACTCACTCTCTATGAAAAACCAACACCAGCCAGGAAGGACATCGACAGTTCCCTCCTTCGGGAGTTTCTCAAAAGAAAGCGAATGGACAGTCTGTCTCCCTAACACCTGCCGGTATCAATTTACGATCGAGATGAATGAACAATGGTACAGGGACTGGCTATTTCAACCAGCGGAGTCGAATCTTTAACCTTCATTAGTGTGCCAAAACAGCACATAGATCGTCATAATTTTTTGAATTATGCAAAAAGCTAGAAAAAACAGCTGCGCGTGTAATGCAGTTATGGCTCCGAAAATAAGGTATGCGTTCAGAAACAGGAAAGTGACGCATTAACATTGCTGTTCGTTGCTTTAAAAAATCGAATCCAACAGGTCTAAATTTAATTCTCAGTAATGTTTCTTGCCCAACCTACACTGGTGCCAAGAAGTCTTCTCACTCAGAATATTGCAGTTCAGGCGAAAATGCCATGGATCTGTGCATTTTCAATGCGAGGCACAAACAAACTGATGATAGAAAAAAACTGATAGTGGCGATGCAGTAGACGTAAAAAGCTTGAGTGACGGCAAAGTGCTAAGAAAACAAATGCAATCAAATCTGTTTATTACTGGCAAGAGACGTACTCCGACAGAGGAACGCGAAAGTCAACAGATACACAATCGCTGATAAATATTATTGAACTTTGAGCAACAAATAACAATAATATACATGAACATCAAAATGTACAAAATTGGGAACAAACGACAACCCGTGTATATCAACTTTTTAACTTAATTTGCACTGACCCCATCGAATACCACCGCAGAATTCAGTAAAAAACTGATTTCAAAACGCATACAATGTATTTATTGCAAGTGTAACATTATTACAAACACATAAAAATGAAAGCATCTGAGAACGAACAAAAAACTTTCGGGCTTATTTTTTACTACAAAACCACAAGGCTAGAGAACAAGAATTGCCGGGCCAAGAATTCTTTACCAAAGCAGTAGTCAGTGCCGCTTACTGCAAAACAAGAAACGGCTCTATACAGCACATATACCGGGCTCCTTGGTACCTAAATCTGTGGAGCACTTAAATCGAGAAATTCTGCTGTCAACGAAATGAATTCTGCATTACCAATCCGTAAACTGTACGCAATATGTCTCCACTACTGAGCCGTTAATTACACAAAACAAAACAGGTACTTTACAAACAAAATGACGAAGAATTTATTATTTTTATTAGAATTTATTATGCCTAAATCAGACCGGCCACTGCGATCAAAACAGTACGAGCGGATCATGCTTACCAAATCAAACGTATCATGTCAGTCTTTCAGCAAGAAACACAAGACTTTCAGCAGCAGTTTCGCTCAAAACATTTCTTAGAAAATAAACAAGAGTCGTTACAAGCCGGACTCAGCGATTCCCTCATCGTCATCAAATGCTGGATTCTGGTGTACCTCAATTCGTGGTGCAGGCATCCAAGCAGCACTTGACTGGTGCTGCTGAGGAAGCCCAATAAAAGTGGTCGCTCCATTGTTACCCAAAATCTGGATATCACTGACGCCCAATTTACTCGCAAAATCGCTACTGATAATGCTGTTAGGGAAGCCGATACTGCCATTTTCACAAACAAATGCCGAAGATAGTGCTCCACTAACGTCACTTGCTGCGGCCAAGTTGGTACCGATGCGAAATGCGGCCGCATTCTCAGTCTCCACGACGTGCAGTAGACAGTGATGAATGAATATATATTGCTGCTAAAATTCAGCCCCATTAGAGCACTTCGCTTTGATGTTATAAATCCCTTCAAAGCTGAGTTTGAGGTTGTTGAAATCAAAACAGGGAATTTTTGGCTCAGCACTGCTTCAGCTGATTCAGCACAACGCCTCGGTAATCATAATTTGGTTTTAACAATACAAATTTCTCAAAAACCGAACCGCAACTTAACTAAATCTCAACTGATGATGAGCTAGTTAAAACAATAACATTTTAGCTTCGCAATTTTTGCTGTTTCATTCAGTTAAAGTAGCAAACGAGGTAATGAAAATGAAGCTAATCTAGAAACGAATGTGTAAGGAAAAAAAGCCGCTGAATTGGTCCTAGGGAACTATACAAAATTTAAGTAAAAGACTCAATCTAAACAGGACATTCTTTAAAACATTAGTACTCTGAAATGCTAAAGTTTGCGCAAAATCGCATATATTTAAGGAGACATTAGGTGGACGAAAGAGGAGAAACTACTATGCTCCAAAAAGAGTAAGAACTGGAAATAACTGGCGTACGCACAGGCTGCCCGTGCGAAGATGCGTTTTTTGCACAGTTGCCCCAAGTTTTTGTTGC